CGGGGCTAATCAGCAATTTTTAATTCTTGTAGTCTCGTCAAAAGAATGGATACAATTGCTGTTCATGTCGGACATGCCAAGACGTACTTTTGGATATTCTGAAATGTCTAAACTGTTGCTATCAACAGTACTCGCAGTACTACGATCTGCCACAACATCCAAAATGTTGTCTTCTAGTTGGGGTCGCACACTCCTGGCTACTGACTACTACTGACCTCTGATTCCCGTTATTTACTTTTGTCTTAAATTTCCTGTCTCACGTAAATGTCTTTCGATATTTAGAAATGTTTTTCATTTTAAATTATTTTTCTATAATTTGTTTCCATAGACACCTACGATTTATGAAAATATTCCAAAATCGAGGTTGTCTGTCAAAATCTAGTATTTGTTATTAAAATTATGCCACGACTTACAGAAACAACCTGAATAATAAATAAAAATTTTGTAACCATTGATATCTAAAAAACTACAAAATTCTGAAAATAGACCATGTTTGGACACTAGACTTTTAGTATAGACTTAAAACACTACTAATACTTGCTAAAATGATAAAAGATGATTGCGGCATAAAAATGAATCTAAATTTAATGTATTTGAGCATGATGGGGGAACTGATTTGGCAGAAACAGTATGAGCACTTGAAAACAAAAAAAAAATGTATGCTACTCTAAAACATGAAACTGAAGTGTTGTCGTGTGGAGATATGTTGTATGAGCGTTGCAGATGTTGGAAACCTGGTAATTAAGCATAGTACCTAAACATTTTGCAGAAAAGCTTACCTGTAATTTTTCCATAACATAAACTAGTCAACTCTGTCATCTTTCAACAAGATAATGATCCGAAGCGCATTGCCAAACGCGTCAAAGAATAATTAATATTTAAACTGGTTAAGACTCCAATTTTGCAAGAACGCGATTGATGATGAAGTGACAAACAAATTGGTACACGGAATGCCGAAACAGTTGTTTATCTTTAATAATTCTATTAGATGCTCTTTAATGACATGGTATAAAATCTTTGTTTTTTATTCTCCGAATTCATGGTGAGAACTAAATGATAGGCAGTCTACAAATTATGAATTTTGTTTAACTTTATGTTAAATAAAATTGTTTATTTAATTTTCCTATTTTAGCTTATTTGCCAAATAATTGAACCGCGTTATATGTATATCACTTAATTAAGCGACATTTCATCGTTTTTAGAGATTTTCATGGTCTCTGGTCGCTCAAGTGTAACTTATCTTACCGGAAGACCTAAAATATTATTTGTTTTAAAGGATAAAGCTAAGCGCCAATCACGTTATACAATTTCAAGTCCGATTTGCATCATACGTCTAAGAAGCGACTTAGATACGACACTTAGATACACCAAGAAATTATACAATAGATAAAATAGATGAACCTACAATTTCGGGCCAGTGTCGTTTTCTAGATGTTAGTATAAAATTAAAAGTGTATGTCTTTTATTTTATATAGAATTTAAGTCTAACTAGTTTCGGCCCTTGACCATCTTCCGAGACTTTAGAAATAGATTAACATCTCTCATCTTATCCATTTTACAAACGACAGCGGTAGGTACCGCTAGTTAGCATAAGATATCACTATGTTGCATATTTTTATTGCACTAAAACTAGAACTAACACTAGACCTAGAACGAGAAAGTTTCGGGTTGGGCTAAACCCGAATATTTCTAGTTCTAGGTCTAGTGTTAGTTCTAGTTTTACACTAGCACTATCACTAGAACTAACACAAGGCCTAGAAGTAGAATCGTTCGGGTTTAGCCGTCTTGAAAGACGTGGGACTAAATCCGAATGTTTCTAGTTCTTGGTCTAGTGTTAGTTCTAGTTGCAGTGGTAGATAGCGCTAGTTAGCATAAGATATTACTATGTTGTATATTTTTATTGAACTAAAACTAGAACGAGAATTAAAAACATTCGGGTTTAGTAGTGAAAAAAAATTGCAGTTGCCAATGTCAACTTTAATTTTATTATTATATTCATAATCTTTATAAAATAACCTTTAAAGTGAGTGCAAACTTGACGCATTTATTTCAAAAAACCAAAAAGGTCGAACTTTCAACTTTTAATTTTCATATATTTGTCAATTTCATAAAAAATCCTTTAAAATGAGTCCAAACTCGACATATTTAACTTTAATATTAATGGAAATACAATCACATCCGGTTTAAAACGTCAATTTTGACATATTTGTTATATACATTAAAAACCCTTTAAAATGAGTCCAAAGGTGACGCACTTATCTCAAAAAACAAAAAAGTTAGAATAAAAAACATTAAAAGTGTATCTTCATTGTTGCTAACTCTAAGTTAGCAACAATGAAGATAGCAATTTAATTTTTAAATATTAATACCAACCTTAATTTTTTATTATTATATTTTTGTTTTTGTGACAAATATTAAGACATTTTATAAAAATTAAGAATATGTCAAAATGACATTGACATTTCAAATCGGAAGTTGCTTATATCTCGAGTAATATTGGAATTAAACGTATCATGTTCGGACTCATTTTAAAGCATTTTTCGCGACGATTACAAATATGTCAAAATTGACGTTAACATTCTTAACCGGAAGTTGACCATAACTTCATTAACATTGAAGTTAAATATTGAAGATAAATATGTCGTGTTTGTAGTCATTTTAAAGGATTTTTAATGAAGGTTACAAATACGTCAAAATCGAGGTTGACATTTTAAACCTGAAGTTAGTTATCATATAATAGAAGTTTTATAACTGAAGTTAATCTGGTGTCAGTCACTTTTCCGCACTTTATTTTTACCATTTACCATTTATTTATTTTTAACGTGTTTTTTTGGGTCATTTCGTCGATTTTTAAGCCACATGATGTTTCTTGAATTTTCCCCAAGTTTCTTAATATTTCTTTTGTTAAAAAAGAGCGTTTTTAAATTATTAACCTGAAAACTTGTAACACATCGTCCTTAATTTCATTTTAAGTACAACTTTTTAAACTTTAATTTTGTAAATTAGTAACTAATAAGCTGATTTCGACTATGATATGTGATCTTTCTTAACAAAACAAAAAGAAATATTAAGAAACTTGTTCGTAAAATGGATGAGATGAGAGATGTTAATCTATTTGTAGAGTCTTTGAAGATGGCCAAGGGCCGAAACTGGTTAGACTTAAATTCTATAAAAAATAAAAACCAGTTTAAAAGTACAAAATCAAACTCTAGATTATTTTCTTCAAAAATTTTTATACGAATCGTCATTATTTTATCTCTAGTTTTAGTGATTAAATTTATGTTACGACTTACAGAAACATCCTGTATAATCGTAAAACGTAACGAGTGACCAAGCGGCTTCTGTGCTAGTGATAGCTGTCATCAGTGTTCTGTGATAAAAATGGACAGGCATCAAACAATTTTCAATAGTTTCAACCTGATCTGAGAAGCCTATTCTGAGAAGTCTTATCTTTTTAGAGAGATGAAAACAAAAATCCCGTTTTTCTCAACATTATTTATTTGTCGCTTAGTCAAGTGATGCATAACGCGATCCAACTATTAGTCAAGATTTGTCCTATTGTTTTAAATGCCACGTTTATGATGAATACTTTAAAAATATCTTTGTATTTACTGGAGAAGTATTTTTGATATGTTATCAAGGTATGGTTTTTCAGTTGGTTTGTGTAGATTTTTTAAAGAAGAGTGTTTGTCTTGCGTGATACGAACAAATATGCTTGGAGTGTTCAACTTAATCTGTTTAGTTTGGACAATTTATTGTCTGTAAAATACTACCTATTAGTTTGCCACATAACAACGTTTGCATAGCAGTTAAGTATTGTTCAAAGTAGATACAAGTCGTTCTAAGTAGTTGTGAGATCCTGATAGAAGCTGGTTGGACAATTCAGTTAATATGTTAACACAAATACAACTTCAAATGTTAAGTTTACATCCTCTCTAACATCAATCTTATTTTTGGCTCAATATTTGATGTTATTAACATTAATATTTCAGAATGTAGGTGGATAAGTAAACATTTTTGGCAAATCTATTGCAAAATTTTACCTATTTTTATAAAATCATATATTCTGTAGTATTTCAATATAAAAAAAGCTTTGTTTGTGTTGACTATTATTTTTGAAATGTTTTTGACAAGAAATGTATACCTATTTCGAGTTTAATACGTGTTCCTTTTGGCGGAACAGTGCGCAATATTGATTATTTCGCTGGGTGGGTGATTCATATTACTGCATAAGTCGTAGGCTATTTTTGAAGGCACTCTATCGATCGTTGCTTTGCATTTTGCGAAATACGTTTCAAATAAATTTATACGAATGCGTATAATACGCAATCCAGAAATGTATAAAACTCTTATTTGAAATCGAACTCAAAGATTCACCATTCAAAACAATATATTTTACAAAATCATTAAAAATAACTGTTTTGTCATTTCTCGTTTTATAAAATCTGCTCCCTACGCCAAGTCGGCGATTAAAGCTTTAGATAACGATCTAAATTTAAATTTCCTTTATTATTTATTACGCGGCTGAGTGAATGAATTAAAATTCAAAAATGTATTCTTGTAGGTAGTTTTTTTTTCGTTCAGCGATCGAGAACAACGACACACGTGTTAAACTAACCGCTGCAGAATTTCTAACAGAGCTAATTATTACCAATGACCTTGACATTGAATGCACTTTAAAAAGGCGGTTGCAAAAAAAACCGCGAAATAAAACTCTATATCCACATCGAATTTCCGTATCTTTTTATAAGCAAAAAAAACGCAAACAACAAAATCCGATTTACGCACTATTTATGTACTTGGTAACAAAAAGTTTACATTGACAGGTTTTCTTTCAAATTGACAGGCATTTAACGTTATGTTCTTAGTTAAAAACCAAATCAAAACCAAACCATTTTGAAAAAATAATCTTAACAAATCGACATCGTTTTAATAACATTTTTAAAAAACAATTTATTTCAATCGACACAAATAGAAGAATCATTAATTTTTCAATAAAGTATAGAGATGGATGCCAAAGTGACAAATTCTTCGCCAGAAGGCACCAAATCAAAAAAGGCGGCCCAACACCAGGAAGAATCATCTTCGGCGGAAGCATCGAGCGACGACAGCGATATAGAGGCGGACCTCGTCCAAAACATCAAATACAATACGATCTCGACGATGGCCGCTTTAAAAGATATGTTAAGAGCGAGTGGTGAAGATCTGGACGAAAATGGTAGTTTTATGCAATGCTACTTCCAAAAGCATTCGAATACGTTACCATCGAGGACTTCGATGCCTTTTCGACGATTATCTCAATGTCGCGAAGAAGACGAAGAAGAGGTGAAGACGGCCGCTGCACAAAGCGACTTGGCTACTATTTCCGGAAGCGACAAGAGTTTATCGGAATCATCGAGCGGCTCGAAAACGTCTGTTATCGATACAGTGTCAGGACCTACGCATAAATTTGTTATTACAAAGACGAAACAAGTCGATGATGACGGCAAGAAAAAGAAGGATGACGACAAGAAAAAGAAAGATGACGACAAGAAAAAGAAAGACAATGACGATAAGAAGAAGAAATCGACGAAGCAACCATCTGAAGCCGCGAAAAAGATGGCTGCAGATCCGAAATATAGGCAGGCAAATACCGTTCATTTCCCAACGACAGATCCAAGAAAACCAAAGATTCAAGGATTATTTAATCGACCTCCTCATTATGATAGCAAATTTTTCGATTCCTCTTTAATTGAAATGAAAAGTCAAACGAGTAGTACTTCTACTTTGGATTGTAATGAGGATATTTGGGTTAGAAGATTACCAGAAAATAAAAAAGTAAGTGTGTGTTTAGGTGTATCGAAATCGATGAAATATACTTATCTTTTAAACTATGTTTACCTAAAAGCGTACACTAAAATATCATTATCAATTCATTTTTTTTGAAACAGTAACAAAATATGATACAGATCATGTTAAAACATCATTTGTGTAGTGCGTTTTAAACACTTAACTTTCTCACTCGACATTTAATGAGTATTCACTTTATAAAATCATTTCAGTCAGTTATTTTAACCATCGATATCAAAATTACCTTTCACCTTAAAACTGACGAAGATTGATCATTGTATGTTGGTTATGCAACTTTCATTTTTATATGATTATCACCATTTTTTGCCAGTTATTTTTGAAGGTGCGTTTTATATGAAATTGGAAAAGCGTAAAACTGTGGAAAATATTCAGTGAATTGCATAAGAAAGATGGTTTTATAAATGCAGCTGTTATTTCAATCTCTTCAGCACATAATTTTGATATTTTAAAGAATAAAATGTTGTAGGTGGTAAATAGAGACTAATGTTTTGCTGTTTCAATTATCTAATACTTCAAACTGTGTTATTGAAAGTTAATACATAACACATTAACAATATAAAACTTCAATTCAAAGAAAAATAGAAACTCGGAAAACACACATACAATAACTTCATCATGCAATGCTAATCGCAAGAAAACAGTAACCAGAAGGAGAAAATGATTAACGTGTCAACATAACGAATAAAAAATGGTGTTTAAAACGCAACAAATCATTTGTGAACACCACAAATGTTATCTGTTTATACAAATTTCGTATATGTTATATGTTATCTGTTTGCGTATATACTGGATGATTTATAAACTTTTATTCGCCAATAAGCTACATACATATTTATACATAATTATTTCTCGTTTTAATTTATTCAAGAAATTAGAAGACTTAAAAGGTTTCTGTAGAAATAATGTGGTACAAATTTTCGAAAAAATCCTAAGAGTAAGAAATATAGTAGGTCTTTAAAGATGCTATTCAACAAAAGATTTTATAACGTTACTTTTGCTATTGCTTGAGAGCAAATAACATATCCAACGTGAATGGAGGTGGTATTATTTTGCATCTTTGGTAATCCATGTTGCGAGACATAAATGTAAATGAAATTTAGGTATTCAAACAAAATAACTTCCTTCTCGCTATAAAAATCAATATATTCAGTACCGGTTTCGGCTAAAATGCCATCATCAGCTGAATTGTTAAAGATAAAATAAGAACTTAAACATAAGTTAAAAGACTTAATGCAAAAATGATAAGATAACAAGAAAACTACACTACGATACGGTATTATTTTGGTCTATTATCTAATGTTTTACCATTACAATTAGAATAAGTGTACAAGTATTTCTAAAAAGGTGTTAACAATGTGATAGATATTGACTGTGTAATATTGGCAGGGTGAAGTTGACATTGATATGGACATTATGCAAATTTCTAAAAATTAAATGTCATTGCATATTAAAAAATAAATTTTAATGATGAATTTAAACGCAGTTTACAAATTAAATTTACAAAGAGTCAATATTTTTAGGAAATTATAAATTTTTAAAAATCTCGCCATCCATTTTAATGTACATATTTACTAACGCGATTATTTAACGAGTGTCGCGCATTTAAAGCTCACTATTGTACTAAATATTTTTGGATGTCAACCAAGCTTTCATATCGAGCTTTGTAGATGTTGTTGTGGGAATCACATATCTTCATTACGGCTGTGATATGAAGCATTATTCATGGCAATAACAGCATTGTTTGGTAGCACTGTTAATTTCGATCAAACCATCTTTCAAACACTTCAGTATTCATATCTTCATGGTAATCTTAGTTCCTATGTACAAAATAATAAGACGTCTCCCGTTTCCCTGCAGGATTACGTAAGCCTGTAGTCAGTCCTTCTGTAAACGCTTGTCGTCAACTTTTTATAGTGTCTCCACCCAAATTTTTTGTGTTTCTTCTTCTCCACCTAATTATATCATCACGTTCTATCAACATACTTTCGATCTCTCTTTATATACCACCAATAATTAAATATACTCAGCATAAATTTACTCGAATTTTTTTTATATTGATTAGAACATTGGCACTACTGACCTGAAGTTTATCATTTTCATAAATTGACAATGTTGAACGACTTATCTGTGGCAAATCATCGCTGTTTCGATTAATGAGTGTCTTCCAGAACTTTGCTTAGGTGGAGTAACTTGTCCCTTCTTATATTCTTTTATAGCGCGACAAATACTAGGCTGCGCCACTCCTAAAAATAAAATAACATTTTATGTACCTATTGATGGTGGTGTCTTTTAATACTAACCTATCATACTTGATATTTTTGCGACAATACCATTGATTCTCATTGTGGGGTTGTCTGCTCGAAGTTTTTTGAATATATCTTATATATCCTGCTTTTCAATCATAGATAGACATCCTAACTTGAGATATTTGCGCCTTCTCGGCCGAGATCTTTGCAATCCAGAAGTACTTAGTACTTCGTGCATATTGAAGAAGAACGACGTGAAAATGTTTCACACGAAGAGTATGTCAGCCAATTAGTTCTTAAAAGAACTACTTTACAAACGCACTCACAAAAATACACGATTTATACGGCAACAACTGTTGTAACATATGGCGGCCGGCAACATCTCAAATTTTCCTAGTGTTATTTTGGCTTAAAACTAAGCAATAGCAACCCTTCTTTTTGGCGCTTCAATTTGAAAACACTCTTCCGAATTAAAAATCCAGTATAGTTCCAAATCCAGATAAAGTGGGATAGTTGGGCTTAGATGAACGACCATCCACACCTATTACAGACCAATTTCTTTAACGGTCATCCTCGAGGTAGGGTACATTTTTTCTACTACGTTTGCAGTGTATTGTGATTTGTGTTATCGGAAAAGGAGTGCTTGTGACTGAGGGCAGTCTGGGTGGATCAACACTTTTCCTCATTCTTCTTTTACACAAGTGATATTGCGCCTAACCAACATTTATCAATCGGTTGGACTTCGCCACTTTTATGATTTCCGTGATGCCGTCAACTGAGGAGGCATTGTTGGGGAGTGAATTTGGATGTGAGGTCAGTGCGTGTTTTTTGTGATATCTGTCACCTAGATTGACTACTTGGCCTTCATTGTTTAGTTTTAAACCCCGATGGGTTTTAGTGATCAGTGTTAGTCAATCTGCTGCCGGGGATAAAATATGAGTGTGCAATCATGGATTCCGAACACCTCAAAAATTAGAAGGTGAAGAGGAAGTGAAGGAAGGAAGGTAGGGAATCGTGGAAGGTAGGATAGGTAACCAACCGCAAAGAAGAGCGTTGGCGTATTTGGTGAAACAATTATTAAGTGGACTGGTAAATAGTGGCAATAAACCGAGTGGTTGAACCAAACATAGATCTTCATTAAACACGTCTTCGAAGAGTAAGGAAATGGTGGTGGAGATACGGTGAGAGAGTGTATGGAAAAGATGGTTGTTGATGGAGTGTTGGCAAGGTTACGGGAATGTATAAAAGAGATGAGTTGTTTTAAGTGTTGTTCATGAGTTCAAAAGCTCAATAAGAGTTCGTACGCTATTCAATAGTTGTATATATCCGAAATATTTAATTGACAGAAGATTTCGTAGAGCTAGAGACTTTGTCGTGGTAAGGCGTTTGTATCTAGTTTTCTCTATCTAGTTGTATCTTTATTATGCGTTAATCGGATCAATATTTGGCAATCTTCTTTTTTGGGAGGATAACGTAAGTTGATGCAACCATTTATTCGGTTAATCATTCCTGTTAAGTATGTGGTATTTAAATACTAGATTTATTACTAGTTCTACTAGAATTTGAATCTGGTCGTCCTCTATCAGTTTAAGAATTTCCGTTGGCAGTTGATCTGGGCTAACTGCCAACGGATGTTTTTCCATTTTAAGCATATTCAGTGCATACATTCGTCTTTCATTATGTCCCGACGCAACTGGTTCTATATTTTTACGCTTAATTTATGGTCTCTCATCCTTGAAGGATTGTGCAATATAGTTCTGGCATATTTCTGGTTTTTGTTTTATTTCTGTGACGTTTTTTTCCATTGTTATTGTACACAACATCGAGTTGTTTACGTTTACTACAGTTTGCGTGTTCGTTCACTCTTTGTGTATGTGTTTCTAACATTTTTCTTTCGCTTCTCTGCTCTTTGTGCGTAGTATTCGTTGTGTTACCTTATTCTGCTGATCATTCTTTCCTTTGAAGCTTCTTCCCTATTATTAGGATGCCTATGAGGATTTCAATAACGCTGATCAGTTTCGGCATTCTTCCTCCTTTTCAAGTCTTCTTTTATTATAAACCTCTACCTCGTTTTGTATTTCTTGTTTCCTCAAGTGTTCTACATTTATTCAGTTTTTTCTTGTCCTCCTTATTCTTATGAGTCTGGTGTGCATTTGGGCCACTAGAGGATTGTAATCCGAGAAGACGTCCACGGCCGCGAACACCTTCACTAATTTGATTAAATTTCTATATTTCGCGTTTACTAAGTCATAGCCTATTTGTTTTCTTATCGATTTTTAATCATCGTCTCGTGAGCACTTCTAGGGTGTATGAAGAGTCGTCCGAAGTGACGATTCTTCGGACGCTCGTAGAAGGTAATCATTCTTATCAACTCTTCCTCTTGGCAAAAAAGTGTTAATATGTTGTCTCTTTCATTTCTTATCCCTAATTCAAACCCAGCCACGTACCTATTTGTCACATCTTACTCCGCCGACCTTCGCATTAAAGTTCTCAAGTACTATTTCCTTTATTTTCAGAGTAGAGTGTGGCCTTGTGTGATCTTGGCTATCTAGTTTTACTAATTCGCAAGATCCTGAGCTTCAGTTTTTACATTTCGTGAATGATATTATGCATTTTTTCAGGTTCATGCATGGATCTTACGTTCCATATGATAACCTTTAATTTGCCTGTTTTCCTCGGAGATCCAATTAGGGATCTTATTACTCTGAACAATTTTGTTCT